GTTTTGCCTCTGCTTTCTTTTATCTAAGAATTGTATGCATAATGAAGTAGGGGGTTATATGGAAACCTTGCTGAGTTCTCTGCTTTCCCTTAACATTAGTCTGTTACACCTTTACTCAGAGTAACTTGAAATTACTTACATGTATCTTTTTTTGTATGTGTAACACATGTAAGAGTGTTTCCTTATCTTTATATTTAAATTTTTCAGGAGATGATTCAGGAAAGGTCACAATTTGGAACATGGCCCCTGTGAAAAATGAGGAAGATGAAATAAATGAAAATGTTCCGAAGTTATTGTGCCAAATGGATAACCATCTTGGTGGGCTGCATTTTATTAAGTTGTGGAATCAATTGAGTGATTTAATATGTACTTGTGCATCAGACATGTGCAATAACACTTTGTGTTTAGTTTAAGATGTGTTTATAAGGTTTTGGCAGCTGAACATTTAGGTCATGCATAAGAATAAAGGAAATGCTCACCTTCTAAAGAAGCTGTGGTTGTTAAATAAATTCTTGCCACTAACCTAGAAAATTTATGGAGAACAGCATGGAGAATATGCATACTGATTTTAGTTAAGGGTTAATGATTGTTAAGGGTAAATGATCTACTGTAAATCATCATTGTTTTATTTTTTAGCATGTGTGAACTGTGTTCGTTGGTCTTGTGGTGGCAAATATCTTGCAACTGGAGGTGATGACAAACTTATCATGATTTGGCAAATGGCAAGGTAAGATAAAATAATTTTTGCAAAAATACTGTATTTTAAAAACCTCATGCCAAATTGATCATCACAGGTAGAAACTTACAGAAGAAAAAAAACATGACTTGTGCTTTAATCTCAGATTTCATTATAAGGTACTTATTTTTTTAACAAAAAATTGATAAGAATCTAACTGCCATCCTAATATTAGATGTTTGTTTTTGAACTGGGGCCAGGTTAATGGGTGCAGCAGCAGTGTTTGGTGGTAACAGTAGTAAGTTGAATGTGGAGCAGTGGAGGTGTGTCAACACGCTACGGGGTCATAGTGGGGGTGAGTCTCTGGTGAAATGTTGTAACATTGTTTAGACTATTTCTCTTGCACCATTGGTAGCCATGCCAGACTTACCACCACAAGCTGCAAGCTGAAAAAAGCTGTATACGCACATCTTGGGAAAATTGAGACTGAAAAGATCAATAATTGTAGGGTTGTCATTGGAAGCCATTACATGTAGGTATTGGAAACCTGTCAGCAGTCAGCTGTGTATTTTTCACAGGCTTCTTTTTGAATAGTGATCAAAGATGGAAAATTAGTTATTTTGAACAATTGTAATTCTAATTTTTAATATCTGGCTAAAAAAAAAAGGTACCCAAACACGTCCCTTAATGCTGGAAATTGCATCTGGAAGTGTTATTTTTCCTTAGAGAGGTATGTTGCTTTGAAGCATGCCATGCTTGCTATATACAAGCATAACAATTCAGCTCAGCCACCCACTCAGTTCATATTATACATTTACTTGTATTGCTTTATTTTATAATAACCCCAAGGAGGCAACAAAAAAAAATTCTTACCAAAAATCACATGACCCTTTTTAAGGCCTGAACAATGGTGTGGTATATGTATATGAGCATGATCCTTCGCAGTAAAGCACTATAGTGCTTTACTGCGAAGGATCGTGCTCATATACGTCTCATAACCGCAGTTCACACGTATGTTTCATATGTTTGTTGTTGTTTGATTTATCATCTACGGGTTTATGTCGAATTAATTTGATGGCCTGTTCCCAGTTGGCTTGTTAGCTCAATTGGTAGAGCGCTGCACTAGTATCGCAGAGGTCAGTGGTTCGAATCCCGTACAGGCCTGAAACTTTTTTTCAGGTCTGATTTTCACTATTGCTCAAATAGTGCTTTACTGCGAAGGATCGTGCTCATATACGTCTCTTAACCGCAGTTCACACATATGTTTCATATGTTTGTTGTGGTGTGGTATATGTTCCTCGTATTCCTTTTCACCTGGGCATACTTTATAGCCAATGGAAAGCGATAGTACTTGAATTGCAGGTGAAGGCAGTCTTAAGTCAGTGTGCAATGTGCAAGGTGTAACCTTGTATATGTAAACAATGTGTGACCAAGCAGCTCAGGACCTTTTCTTGACATTGAATCCACATCGTATGTTTTTGCTAGATGTTTTGGATCTGGCATGGTCTCCAGATGACAGCTTTCTTGCATCAGGAAGTGTTGACAACACTATCACCATATGGAATGCTCAACGATTTCCAGGTTTGTGGCTATTTCTTAGAATACATCTAGTAAAAAAAAGGGTTTGTAGTATATGCCAAAGCAGCAAAAAAGGGCTCAGTTTACTGTCACTGTGACTTACAAGTCAAGTAGCTATTACAGCAGTGGCAACAATTTCAGCAGTTAGTGACAGTTGCAGTGTCAAAGTTTTTTGTAAGCTTGCCTGGAACTGTGAATTGAAACATATTTCTTTAGCAACAGACTAGACACCAATGAACAGTTTGGTGTTTTGAATGTTTGGGCTTTTAATTATTTGGTGCCACTAAGCAGTGACATGAAAAGTGATGTTTTTCCAGACTGCAGATCAAGAGCTCAAGGTTTTGAGCCCAGGCTAATTTATGTGTTATGTTCTTAAGCAAAATACTGAACCCTCACATTATGTGTACCTCTTTCCACTCAGCAGAATCAATAGGTACAATGCAGCAACATTATAACAGCAAAATCTATCAATTGCTGTGGGACGTGACTGTAAAATCATGTAAATGTACCCTCCCATCTGACAGCAATGCTCCTTGATAATCCCTATCATAGAAACTGCTATAAGCTGTGGAAAAGGGAGTAAGGCGCACTTGCCATTGTTTTTCCAAGCCTTACACATGTAGATGCGCTAGCTGTGTACCCTGACACCATCAAACCCTGTTTTCAATATTGTCAAAAGCCACCTCGCTCAGCCAAGTAACAAGTACAATCTCAGGTCTTCTACTAGTTATGTGAAAAGCACAAAAACTGACCGTTTTGGAAAGTTTGTAACGAACAAGTTTGCCACTTATTTAAAGCAAAATGTATAAAAGTCTATTATTTATTATTGTATTTTGTAAGCTTACATCCTTGTATTCAATTTGCTGACTATACCTGTAATTCAGATTTTCTGCAAGGGGTATAAATAAACAAACATTATTATTATCATCATCATCATCATCATCATTGTCATCATCATCATTATTATTATTATTAAAGAAACTATCATGGTGGTGCATTAGTGGGGGAGGGGGGTGTATGTACCTGTGTACTATGAGATAATTTGGTTTTATCATTTGAGATGTTTATGTTACCCCTTGGTTTATTTGCTCTGATAGAGGGAACACTCCAATTGTCTCCTTTAGAAACTCTCCAGGGTGACCAATTGATCAATTCAGTTGGTAAACAAAAAAGGTTAAGCTGTAGCAATCCACAAACTTGTATGAAGTTGTTTCTTTATTCTAAACTTCTTTCATTTCAGATGTTGTTACCGTCTTAAAGGGTCATAGTGGTATGGTCAAAGGCATCACATGGGACCCAGTTGGAAAATATCTTGCCTCTCAATCTGATGACAAGACTTTGAAAGTGTGGCGAACATCTGATTGGCAGCAAGAGAGTGAAATATGTGAACCATTTGCTGAATGCAGTGGCACAACTCATGTTCTGCGTCTCAGCTGGTCACCTGATGGACATTATGTGGTATCAGCACATGCTATGAATAATTCTGGTCCAGTGGCAAAGATCCTGGAGAGGGATGGCTGGAAGATGAGGATGGATTTTGTTGGGCATAGGAAAGCAATTACATGTGTGGTAAGATTTGATACTTAGGAAAAGATTGTATGTACAGGACATGTGTATAACTGCATTATTTTGTATAACAGCAGATTTTGATCATGTTATCTGGTCATGCTCTGTGAGAGTAGGACAATGATCTACAAGGAATTCAGGTCACCAAGAGGTACACCAATTGATGTTCGTGGATGTGAAACCGCAAAACTAAAAGATAAAGAAAAATATCATTCAGTGGAACAAAATAGATATGTATAATGAAATTTGCCTTCAGAGATTTCATTCATATAGTCTTTGTCCTGTTCTGATAAACATATGGCAGGAAGGCTAAGTTCAGTAAGTTTGCTGACTTGTTCCACCACGATGCTGATATACATTGGGGAGTTTTCTTTGATAGGGATAACTTCAAACATTTCCTTTTTATGTATTTTGTCACATGATAAGGTTCATGATTTGATTTGAAGGACTGTGGTTGGTAATCACAATAGCCATTCAACTCAAGTCAAGTCAAGAGTCAGCAGTGACTTTTTTAGATTAAAATCATGATTGAATTTGTTACATGTAACTCTTAACAGAGATTCAACCCAAAGCTGTTTCTGAAGAAAATTGGTGAGGAATCATCCAGACTCAAGGTAACAGTAGTACATATTTTTGTGTATTGAATCCCCCAGTGCTTATGTCAAACAATGTATTTTTTTTTCCAAATTAAAATTTTGCTGTACATGTAGTATGTTACAGGAAGGTCTACAAAACATTTATTTTTCGTATTTTCAATTTGAGATTTTGCAATCTGGAAGTAGTTTTGTGTTTTCTTGCTATATTTATGTTATTCATTTGTTCTTAAGTATGGAACAAATTAAATAAAAAATCTGCAATCCAAATTGAACCCCAGGCCTTCAGTCTCATGGTTTTGTGTTCTACCTCTTAGCTAAAGAGAACATGCGAGTGTGAGACTCTGGGTAGATGAAGATAAGGTTGTATTCCTTTTGGGAAACCCAAGTTATGTTCAAGTCAGTTATTTGTATCATGTGTGTGAGAAATGAATAAGTTTTCTTTTTAATCAACTACCAAACTTAACATTTACATTATACCTTCACATTTATTTTCCTAAGATAATTCATGCCATTTTTGCAGTACAGTGTATGCAGCTGCTCATGTACATACATTTTGTGTGATATTTTTCTCTTAATCTTCAGCAATATTCTTGTTGTGCAATTGGAAGCAGAGATCGATCTCTTTCGGTTTGGGTATGTTCAGAATTTGAAGTGACTTTGCAAGTAATAAATTAATTGTATTTTTGATTGGATAGGCAGTGCTGTATGAAATAATTATTATACATTTACCAAAGATTGAAATGGTTACAAAATAATGGATTAATCATGCAGAGGTGCAGATGATTATGAAAATGCAGCTTTTTCAAAAAAGAGTTGAATTATATAAAAAGCTTCAGGTAATGGAATGACAAAGAATTGGGCAAGACAGATAAACTACATGAATTTCCTGAACGAGGAGATGTCGCAGAAACATTAACTGTACTTATTTGCCAATTTGTCCATGAATGAGACAGGACATTAAAGTCACAATTACAGCATACATTACACCTGTCATCTTTTACAGGATAATGATGTTGCCTCCTCATCTCTTCACAAGGGTACTAAGTTAATCCTCTGATTGCAAAATTAACTGAACTGATTAATGGAGTAAATCTTTTTTTTTTTTTTCCAAACAGTTAACTTCCCTTAAGAGGCCTCTTGTTGTTATGCACGACTTATTCAATCACTCAATCATGGATGTATCCTGGTATGTCTTCATTAAGAGAATCAGCACACATTTGCATTCTTTTCATGGACTAACAGACTCTAAGCAGTACATGTGTCAGGGCTTCACACTAACTTTTCAACTTACTAGCCAAACTGGCCGGTGGAAATCAAAAACCACTAGCCAAGATTGAATTTCTACTAGTCTGTGGCTAGTTGGCTACTGTTGGTGTCAAACCCTGATGTGTATTAGAGGTAAAAATAGAAAAGACTTTATTAAACTGTGTTTAGGGTAAGAAAACAGCAGTATTGCAATTAGATATTTATTACAAAATGATGAATACATATGTCTACAGTGCACACTGCATGAAAGGGCTAAGAAATCAAATACCTGTAAATCTCTGAAAGAGTGGGTTATGGCTGTTGACATCATTGTAATTTTGAGTAAATGTAATTTTATGAAAAAGAAGTGAAAGTACTGGACCACATCTTGTAATATTACATTTAAGCCAAGACTAGTGCCTTGTAATGTGTGTTGCACATACTCTCTCTGGATTGCTTCCAGGATTGTGTGATTGCTTCTTTCCCTTAAAATCTTGTTTTTGGATGACTACATGTGGCTTTCCAAGGGACAATGCTCTCAAATTATTAGGCATAGTGAATGTCTCTGCATGTACATGTACATTCGCCAGTGTCACAAGGGTGTCTCATGGAAGATCCATCTTCCATGAATCCAGGTACCAGTAACCAAGTACACTACTCTAAACAGGAAAGGCATCATCTGCAATAGGCTGTTATTATCTTAATTGGAAAGTGGCTTTTCCCTAACCAGAGTTTTGATGTGGATTTCACCCCTCCTCTCCCTGTCCACTTGAACATATTAGGCAGTCATTTAGTGTTGAGGTTTGTTCTGGCTTTGCTTGCAGGAGTGATTCACTTGAACATATTAGGCAGTCATTTAGTGTTGAGGTTTGTTCTGGCTTTGCTTGCAGGAGTGATTCACTTGAACATATTAGGCAGTCATTTAGTGTTGAGGTTTGTTCTGGCTTTGCTTGCAGGAGTGATTCACTTGAACATATTAGGCAGTCATTTAGTGTTGAGGTTTGTTCTGGCTTTGCTTGCAGGAGTGATTCAGGTTTCCAGCTGATGGTTTGTTCATGGGATGGAACTGTGGCTTATGCTGATTTCGCAGCTGAGGAACTGGGTAGGCCAATGTCAGAGGAGGAAAAGGTGTGTGTTCATTGATGAAATCTCTGAATATTACCAATTTTGGTTATTGATTTACCTGTAGAAGAGTTTTGTCATCAGAAAGATGCATATTTACTGTCTTGCACACAGGCAGCCCAAGCTCACTACTAGAAAAGCGGACGTGACTCTTACAGTTGCGCAATTTTATTTATAAAGGTTTGTATCGGATGTTATCGGTTTGCCGTAAAAGAGAGAAAAAAATGCCTTGTTTTGAAATAAAATGGTCTTATCTTATTGCCTTGTTGTTTTCTTTGTTGATTCCGAGCGTCTTAGGCCATTTTGAAGCGTTTTCGGCGAGTTAGCGCTATGTTGGTGTTCAACTGCTAAAAGAAAGACAAGGCCGGAACCCATTTTAGAAGGGTCCGTCGCCCGAAGCGAATAATTCCGCCAAAAAATTACCACCAGTCTCGATTCCTCCAGAAAATCAAAGCAGAGATGTTGCAGTTCCATTTCCATTCACTCGATTCCCAATTCCTCCTACAGATCTTTTACTAGCGATGCTTTATCTCCAGATCGATCGGCTTTCCAATTTCGAATTTGGCTCGTTGAAACAGTTGTGGACCCGTTCGCCGATCGCACAGAATGTTGGGTAACAAAAATAAGCCCGGCGAGGATAGCCAGCAGCCTGCCGACCAGGGAAGCTAACTGGTTTGTTTGTCGAGGCAAACCGATAACATCCGATATAAACCTTTATAAATATAAAACATTGCGCAACACTGTAAGAGTCACGTCTGCTTTTCTAGAAGTGAGCTTAGGCTGCCTGTGTCTTGCACTGTCATCCCATGTTTCACTCACAAAGCGTTTGCAGAAAGCAGGGCTTTACAAACACTGAAAACTACAGTACATTGTGTAATCAAAGTGCAGTACTGATGCAATAGATTTTGTTATCGTAGAATGTATGAAGTGTTATGTCTGGTACAGAACCAAGCGATCTAAACTGGTTCATTAACCAAAGATGTTTTTGTGACCAGAGTGTTACTGAGTTATAATATGTAAAAGTTACAATCAAAGTCATGGTCTTTTACTCCTTTAATTTGCACTTTTTGGATTTAGGAGTACAAATAGGAAGGATATTGTGCTGTAATCAATGACAACAGAATTGCTGTTTGAGTTTGGAATGAAATGTGAAGAACATTTAGTTAAAGATTGTCGCTTAGCAACGTGTTTTAATGGTTGAATTTAGTTGAGCCCTTCAAATGGTCTTTTGTGTGGGTATTCTGGTTTCGATACTTCTCTAGATGTACTGTTTAAGGACATGGTACATTGAGCAGTAGTCCCACTTAAATTATGTGCTTTTTGTAGCGCTGAATTGTTATTTGCAGTACTGACAGCAATGTATAAAGTTCTCAACGCAGTTTTTCTACAACTTTATCATGTGTTGCTGTTTGATTTTGAAACTACAGCTTGCACAGTACAACAATATTTTCCGGAAGCTGCTATTGGATATTGCATGCTCACTGTTCATATTTGCATAACTCGAAGATAGATTGTCGCTCTAAACGGTATCCGGACAACTCGCCCCCTGGACAATTAGCCCCAGACAACTCGCCCCCGATCTTTAGACAACTTTTAAAGGCCCCGATCTTCAGAAAACTGGCCCCCAATATGAAAACACCTATGTTACGTTAGACAAATATATTTTTATGCTCATAAAGTAATAATTTCTTGAAAGAAGAAGAAAGTTTGTTTTTTTAAAGTACGTACATTACGAGACCGAGATATACGTTTGTAGCGATCGATTCTAACGATCGCGTAAACACATGAGCGTGACTATTTTGTAATCCAGCCATAACATTTGAAGTTGCTGAAGTGAAACAGATCTAAATGTTTGTTTTTTTTTTGTTTTGAAGCATTCTGGAAGGTAAGTTGAGGTTGAAGAAACAAAAGACGCGAATATGTAAATACAGCGCCATCTTGGTTCAGTTAAAGCACGTGTTCAGGCGTATTATGATGTAATCATACTCATTCGATAACTAAGAATTCTGAGAATTCGTTCATTTATTCATAAACACAAATTATACACGGACAATACTCCAAAACAAAAACAGTAAGAGCTGTTTCATCACTATTACTTCAAATGCTGCGAATGGATTAGAAAATGGTCACTTTCATGTGTTTACGGTCTTTACGCGATCGTTACAATCGATCGCTACAAACGTAAGTCTCGGTCACGTCATAGTTAGTGGTCTCGTAATGCACTTAAAAAAACAAACTTTCCTCTTCTTTCAAGAAATTATTACTTTATGAGCATAAAAATATGTTTGTTTAACGTAACATAGGTGTTTTCATATTGGGGGCCAGTTTTCTGAAGATCGGGGACGAGTTGTCTGGGGTTAGTTGTCCAGGGGGCGAGTTGTCTGACATTCCTCTAAACTAATGAACAGCGCAGGTTCATTCAATCTCTACAAGAAAACTAGGAGTTGTTCATTTAACCATTACTTTTTCCTTGATTGTAATGTAGGAAAAGTTCCACAAGCAGGTCTATGGCATCAGCATCAACAGCAGCAAGACGAACTTGGCCAGTGCCATTATTGAAAATCCTGAAATGTTAAAGATTCAACAACGGCACGCCATGAAACAACAGACACTGGCCAACATAAACAAACCTCCTGCTCCACCTCCTCCGTTGATCCCGTCTGGAGCACCAACCAAGCAGGATTCGTCAGCTATGAATGGTAAGTGGCTTATGACATAATTGAGACACAACGTGCGCTCTGATTGGTCAAAAATCTATAGTGTATTTGCCTGGGTTTACCTTTGCCTGGATACTCATGAAAAACCGAAACATTTTCCCGTTCTGTGAAGTGGCACCACACGAGGCAAATTCAAAAATTTTAATTTAGTAAAGATCTTTGGTTTGAATGTAACCAAGAGGACGCCTTGAACGCCAAAAACAACGACAAAAATTTTATTTATCTAACATCATCAAATTTCTTAATATTTGAAATTCAGTTTAACTGAATTTAAGCCTTTATTTTTTTTCGCAGCGCGGCTAAAGTGAGACAAGTTCAGAAATTCTCAACTAGAATTCCACAAACTACTCGCTGAGAAGGAAAAATTGGAATGTTTTTTTCTTCAAGAAAATTGTAGCGACAAACTTACTGCATTTTCACATAGGTGTTTACTGAAAATCTTACTGATTGGAACAAAATCCTCTTAAAAGTGAATGTGCACTTATGTGACAGTTTCCGCCAAGGTTAATGAGCCTACATGTATGTTTATATTGCGCAGTAGGCGAAGTGCGTGTAATGAGATTTATTCATAATTTTGATTCCCCCACGGGAAAGAAGGCTCCCCTAAAATGTGCCCGCTGCCAACGTGAACATCGTCAACAGTTTGTCATATTCACGGAGACTCCTTATGCGAACTAAGGCCATGTACCAGTCGTCACCAGTGTGGGGGTATTACAGTTCACGAACGAGTTCTCATTTACTTTTTTATATTACTCTCTGTGTTTTAGGCACTCCCATGAAAAGTCCATCACACTCATTGAGCAGTCCAGTCACAAGGAGCCCAATTGATCCTGTGGTGAGTATAGACTTCAAATTCGATTTGTTGTGTGTCGCATGTGGAAATGTTTTCAGTATGTCGCCCTGTACCCTATACGTCCTGGATAAGAAACTTTACACCCAATTTGTTTCATATCTTTTGACTCTTTTTTCCCGAAAAATGACTGGCTTCCCATTTTCCCTTACAGTATCACCCTCAAAACAAATATACAGGCCATGATATACAAAACAAATCATCAGCAATTCCAAAAGCTCCAGATTGCAAAAGAAATTCTCCTTGTCAGTGTCATAGGAAATGTGAAGAGAACAGTATGAAAGTATCAATACTTAAGTTAGGGTGTAAGGTTTAAATTTGTATTTTCAGAGAAGCACAGTGGTGAAACCGCTGGCCTCCACCCACTGTTGCTCAGGTTCGTTACTAAAACCCTGCGTTCGTCCCAAATGGGCTGAGTTTTTTGCTTCAATTTCTCCGGTTTTCCCTTGCAGAAATACCAAACTTTCCCAATTTAGTTGGATAGAATTAGGGACTTTAAGCAGTCAGGACGGTAACGCAGTGGAAGACGTTGATCAAAAAATGAATTTGAAGTTTTAGTTAGAATTTCGCGAATGGCTGGATGTGTTTACCGTCTTAAACGGCGCCACACCTCAACTTCAGCTGAACCTATGCGAGCAGCGTCGAACTCAAATGTAACATAAATAATATGCCGTCGGGGTTTCCGTTCTTATGCCACGTAAATTTTGATGATTTACCGTCGTTGTTTTTGCAAAGGACGGCTGAGAAATCTACAAAGTTTTGAAATGCGCGTGCTAAACTATTGTTGTGCTCATTACGCCTTTATGTTTTGCCACGTCCTCGTTGCTGTCGTCGTCGCAGCTTGCTTAAGGTTCCTAATTAGGAGGCGTAGGACGTGATCCCCTTGTTTAATAATGAGCTCAAGTTCCGTTTACCAACTGAACGTCCAGGTCTGCATCCATGAGTGAAGAACTATCGCGTGAATGTGGTACTCACAACATTCATTTGGCAAGATTTCCGTATAACCCCGTACTTCATTATGCATTCAGTTCTTGGATAAAGGAAAGCAGAGGCAAAACAACAGATTTCCTTTGGGACTACGGCTTTGGTTTTGATTGGTATGGAGTTATACGGAAATCTATCCATTCTTTTTTTTTTTTCCATGACGCCAAATTTTGGATTTTGTTTCTCTGTAGAATGTTTTAGAAAAGCAAGTGGAAACCAGGACCAAAGATGGCCGTCGCCGCATCACTCCTCTCTTGGTTTCAACCATGGAAGTTAGGTGTGCTGCTTGCCGTGTATGATTGTTTGATTGTTTTCTTCTTCTTGTGCAACCCCTTTGGTGGCAGCAATGTTTTACCTGTGGTTAGGAAAATATCCGGGCAAAAAGTAAAACAATTTCTCTGCATGATTTTGGTTATCGGACATCAGACCGCCTTTGTCTTGTGACATAATTCTCTCTACTCATCTGTTCTACAGTGACTCGCCTGTTCCGTTTGGAGGATCTTCAGCTGCTGTTTCACCCCCCGGAAGTTCAGACCCGAGTGGCGTATCTCAGGTGTCGAACTCCATTCCAGCCACATCCCAGGTAAAAGATGTTTGCAAGGAGAGTAACGAAAGATGGTGAATTTTTAGCTGGGTTTTTGGGTCAAATCGGTTTCCTTAAGGGATAGGTTTCCTGTGGGATTTGGATATTTTATTTGTCCCACGCTCTTGGCATTTGAATAACATTCTTTTTTCGACGAACGTGCTCTAAATTTGCGATCCCTCTGTATCTATTTGCAAACACGACTCATCTTGGCAGTATGCTGGCGTTTCAACTTACTTCATGGCTCAGCTCATCCACAAGTTGTCTCTAGCTTTTTTAAAAAGGGTTGCACATCTTTTTCTTACCGATGCATTAACGGAGGTAAATAAAACGAGTACAGTCCGGAGTTCTTTTCACACCCATCGGAAAACTGCTCTGTTAAAAGAATTTAGACCTGGGCTGTGAAGTTATTCATTTGTTTGACATTCCAGCCCAGGTAAAGTGTATTTGCAATAAACTGAATTTGTTCTCTATTTAGAATTTAGTTGCACTGGACTCAAGAATCGGTGAAAATGCAACAACAGGATTCACAAGCAAGTAAGAATCGTTAATTTGATAAGTAAATAAATTTACCTTTACCGTACAATTGCGATGTTGGCCTGTGTGTAATCTGTATTGGATCCGAAAGGAAGACTCGGAGGGATAATGTTTGTACAGTTGAACCTTTCTTTGCCCAAGAAGCTTCCCAGAAAACCTGAAGGATTGGTTAGGTATACTCCTTTCCGAGCATGCATTTGGTTCCTTCTTTACACCAGAAAAAAGAAAAGCGAAAAATGATGGCCCAACCAAACGCACGCTACATTTCAACACAGCGTCTTACAACATCAGGAACCTTATGAGCCGCTGGCCATAAATATCGAGAATCTGCAGACATTTGCAAAATTTCGTAATTCATTTTATTTTTTCTAAAGGGCCCTTTTAATGAACCCCGCGTACAGCAATGAAAAATTAAACGAAGTTGCTGAAGTTGCATAATTTTTCATAGCACGATCCAATAACGTTGCAAGAGGTTGGGTTGAAGTGTTCCTTGCGGTTTGGCCCGATCCTAAAGGAAAGAGTCCGAGTACTAAAATAGGACTCTTGAGTAGATAATTCAGGGTAGCCATCAGCGAGAATGGGTGGGGAATTTATGAAATCCTTTATTGCGAAAAAAAAATTGTAATGACAAATGTTTTTTTTGGTCTCTAGGTCAAAGGATAAGACACCCGAGAGAGCAGAGATCCTTGCCGTGAAACCTGTGTCAGCCACCATGAAGCCCATCACAGCCACCAAACCCGCCTCAACTCCCACAACAACGTTGTCTTCGACTTCAGCATCAACTACTGCAACTTCTATTGCAGTGAAGAGAAAATCAGATACACCGACGACATCGCAGTCTAAACGGGCAAGGAAAGATGGAAGCTCTTCAGGTAATTTATAGCTTAAATATTTGGTTGGAACTATGACTGCAAAGAAAATGACGCTATAGCTTTTTTTCACTTTGAACAAAGGCATTTTTAAATGAACATATTATTCGAAGTGTCACGATTGAGTGATGGGCACTGCTAGAATCAGCAATGCTGCGAGCATTTTGTGTGCAGATGGAAAAGAAGACAGAATTTTTTTCTAACAAGTTCAAAAGATTTCATTTTGTTACTCTAATAACATTGGCATTTGTGTCGGACATCAAAACATATCGCTCCTATTACCTAAAGTTAATACAGTTGAACCTCTTGTAAGCTAACACCTAAAATGCCAAACCCCTTTGATCGTATACAGTAGGTTTCGTTTAGGAGAGTTTCCAACTGAAAGGATTGCAGTCACAAGATGATAAAATAAAAATGGCTATCATTTTTAACTCTTGATGAAGTGGTCGCTTTCAGGTTGGAAAGATTAAGTTCCAAATTAGCGTTTGTTGCCCAACACTTCGAAATTCCACTTAGGCCCTGTTTACAAGCAGGTAGGGTAACCCTAGTGCTAGAGTTACCCTAACGCTCCCACATTTCTTCTTTTTTTCATCGACGTGTTTACAAGGCAGCTAGGGTAACCCTAGCTGCCTTGTAAACGCTCTGCTGGGGATAACTCGCCTACCCGGGACAACTTTTTACTTGTTTCCAGACCCTTTGAACATTGATAACAATGCGTGCGGTTACCAAGCATAGGTAAGTTATCCCGGGGTGGTAGGGTAACCCTACCTGTGAAATTTTGCTTGTAAACCCGGGCTATCTTTGACCCTTGTGGTAGGGTAACTCTAGCACAAGGGTTACCCTTCTTGCTTGTAAACAGGGCCTTGGGCACTGTTTCAACCTTAGCGTCAGCACAACCGACATGCTTTTGATTTACGGTTTTTTACTATAAGGCTTCGGTCAGCTCTGATACCTGTCGTTGAATATTGTACTTCGCCATTGTCCTGTTATTATTCATCGTTTCCAAGTTTATTTTTGTCAAGTGACCCAACCCTTACAATTTCCAGTTTTGCTGACATGCCTTGTTCCAAGTACCATTAGGGTGCGAAAACGAGTCGCTTTTCTTGTTTACCCTTGCCGCCGCAATGGCTCTTTCACGGAGGCAGATAAAGGTGGAAAGGAATCAGCTGCTTCCTGGGTAAAGGGGGCAAGTTTCTTAAGAAACTGTGGTGCTGCGTCGGTAGGAGTATAACGAGATAATTTGGTTGTATAACTGAGTTGATAATTCAACCCACAATTCCTCCATTCGCTCCGAGAAGGGCTATTGCTCGAAACGTCAGCTCAGAAACTCTTTACGGTGGCTAAGTTACCTTTTATACACTGAGTTGATAAAACCAAATTATCTTGTTCTTGGGTAGTTAAGTAAGATTAAACTTCGATCTTTCCGTGTACTGCAGGTTCAAAGAGTGCAGGTGGCTCTAGTAATGTAAGTAATTGCATAGTGAATTGTCAAATTTAAAAGTGAGAACCCGTCAATCAAGCTCAGTTCTGCACCGTTCATAAATGTGAATGGAAACTTTATTCCGTCCTGAATACGAGAGAACCTGATGCGCAGAGTATCAAATGATGGTTTTTAGAATATTGTTTAAGTTCGTTTTAGAGTTAATGAGCTTTCTTGTGTTTATTTCTTTTTTGGTTTGTTTGTTTTCTCAGTCTAAACAACGCGAAGATAGAACAGACCAAGAGGAGAGTGTCGACGCTTCCTTACACGTGAGACAATCTGTGGCTATTCCCTACCCCACCCCACAGAAAAATCTCACAGTCCAGGTAACTTTGTAATCTAAAATGACCATTGCCATTATTTAGTCTTTTCTTATGAGGGGTAAATGAATTTCTTTTGAAGTGAGTCATTTTTATTACACGGTTAGCTCA